TCACCTCGGAGGCCGAGACCCGCAGGACGAGGGTTCGGACACAGTCGGAGCCGGAAGCCTGGACCGCGGATCTTCGATGAACCCGCAAGAGGCCGAAGCGGAGGCGGCGCCGGCCGAGCACCGGGGATCGGGGCGGCGCCAGGCGCTGGGCTCGGGCCTAGGACCGGAACGCGTGCACACAGGTACACACAGGCACACGTGCGCACACAGGCACATGCATGCATGCACACACAGGCACACACATGCACACATGCACACATGTATATACACCCACATGCACATGCACGCACACATGCACGCACACATGCACACACACATGCACACATATGCATGCAGGCACACATGCATGTGTGTGCATGTGTATGCACACACGCGCATGCATACCCATGCGTGCACACGCACACACAATGCATGCACACACATACTAAATAGAATATAAGATGCAGACGATAAAGAGACCCTTTAAAATCTGGCTGAACTCGATGTGTTCACGACACAGTTCTGTGAGACCCTGGACGGATGGATGATCTACACTCAGAATCAACAGAACGCTTGTGTGGACGCCTCCCGTTTATTTATTTGTGGGTCGTGGGCCTTGAACTCAGGGCCTGGGCGCTGTCCCTGAACTCTTTCACTCACGGCTGGTGCTCTACCACTTGAACCACAGCGCCACTTCTGGTTTTCTGGTGGTTCATGGGAGATCAGAGTCTCATGGACTTTCCTGCCCAGGCTGGCTTTGAACCGTGATCCTCAGATCTCAGCCTCCTGAGTAGCTGGGATGACAGGCAGGAGCACCAGCGCTGGCCTCTGGTTGCTTCTATTTAATTAGAAATTCTGTTTGCTGGGATCCTCTCAAGTGACCTCCCCTGGCCTGCAGCTGCTCATGCTCCACAAAGCTGTGGTTTGAGGAGGAGGAGGGGGAGGAGGAAGGGAAGAAGGAAGGGGAGGAGGAGGGATGGGGAGGAGGGGTTGCTATGGCCTCCCACTTCTCCCCCTCCCCATGCCCCTCCTCATTTGAAAGCTGGGCACTGGTGCTCCCGCCCGTCATCCCAGCTACTCAGGAGGCTGAGATCTGAGGATTATGGTTCAAAGCCAGCCAGGGCAGGAAAGTCTGTGAGACTCTGATCTCCAAGGAACCACCAGAAAACCAGAAGTGGCGCTGTGGTTCAAATGGTAGAGCGCCAGCCTTGAGGGAAAGAGCTCAGGGACAGCACCCAGGCCCCGAGTTCAAGCCCCACGACCCACAAACAAAAACAACACATCCCAGCATGGAGAGTGTGCGGATTGCTGCGGGAACTCGGTCTGCCCTGGACGGCAGCGGCTGCGTGGATTCTGCACCCGCGCTGCCACCTCGTGGTCGGATGGGGGACAGCAGCGCGGCCAGCTGTCCGCACAGAGGTCCCCCAGTGTCTGTCTGTCCACTGGTCACCTCGCTCTGTCAGCTCTTGAATATCACAGATTCTCACCTCGTTCCTTACCTCTGTCTGTGTGTCTGTGTGTGGTCTCTGTGCGTCTGTCTGCCTGTGTGTAAGTCTGTGTATCTGTATGGGTCTGTGCCTGTGTGTGTATCTCTGTGTGTGTATGTGTGTGTGTATCTCTCTGTCTGTCTGTCCATCCGTCTGTCCGTCTGTCTGTCTGTCTGTGTCTGTTTTGGTCATGAGGCCTGCACTCAGGGCCTGGGCGCTGTTCCCTGAGTTTTGGTGATCAAGGCAGGAGCTCTACCGCTTGAGCCACAGCTCCACTCCTGGGCTTTTTTTGCTGGTTCCCTGGAGATCGGTGCCCCCCCTTGGGCTGTCTGTGTCCTTTGTGCTTTCTCAGCCTCTGCTTCTGTCTGTCTGTTTCTGTCTGTCTTACCTTCTCTTTCCCTGTCTCCCTCCCTCTC